AACTGGAGTACATGCAAGGAACACAACTCCCAAGACTTCAGGTCAAAGGTGTCATTGACCCAACAGGCAGCATGACGGAGGCAAAGACTGAATGTCACCCTGAGACAAGGGAGCAGAGCACCCCCTTCAAACTCACACAAAGTGAGGTAGGACTCAAAGGTCTCCTCCATCAGACCAATGAGCCCCAATGGACCTAGGGTTCTTAGGCTGACTGTTAAGGGAAGCCCAAGCAAGGTATTGCTAACTGGTTATCCCAGAGCTACCAAGTATAAAAACTATGTTCATGAGTTGGTTCCTCCAGCCGTTGCATATGGGTCTGACCAGTGGGCCCCCTTCCTTAGTATTTTTCCAGCTGCCCCGTTTTTTTCTTTTGAGGCCAGGGCTTTGAAGAACAATTCGGCCCTGGGTCCTGGTGTGGAGGTTCTCAGGGTTGGGGAGGGGCTGATGGGGGTCCTCAGGCCCCATTGAACCCCTCCAGGGTTTCCTACCCTCTGAGTGGGGCTTACTGTTATGTGGTGTGGGGTTTTATTCCCCCCCCCTCTATGTACGAGTCAGTTTTTGGTGTCGGCTCCTTCCCGGGTTCAGTTCCATGTCCCTTCGGGTCCGTCGATTTCGCCCTTCCAGTGGCACATTTTACCCACTTTATCCATTTTCTTTTCTAAGAAATGTATTCTTTCTATATCATATCAAACTCATAACGGTCATTATATCCTACTTCAACTGAATCCTACATAGCCATTGATCCCGTATGGCAATGGGCTCTTATGACCCTACGTGGTTTTGCGCACGATTCTCAAGGGTCTGGAAAATTCAAGATGGACTTCCTTAATTAAAAAATTATTGGAACATATGTCGCTTTTGGTGATGATTGCCTCTGGTGTCGATTCTGGTGACAATATTTTATAAAAATCATTGGTGCTCTTCGGTACTACTTATCTTCTTTACGTACTATATCTCATCAAATTATGATCATATCTTATCTCAGTAAATGAACATTGTGAGGTACACTTCCCCCAAATGCAAGGAGGGACCAGCTTGGACCTCGGGCATCTTGAGCATGGCCCAGAGGTGTTTGTTTTTTTATGGACAGTCAACACATGTTAGGTGTCCTTTATCACAGGACATACGCCGCACTACCTACTCTTTATATATCTCCAGTTATGGCTCCCTGGATACTGGGGGAGTTCTGAACTGTATTTGTAGGGTACATTCCTTATTCTTTTATCTAATTTAGGATGTGACATGGCTCATAGTGATGCCGCTTCCTACTCTTATCCTCCTGCAAACGCACCTAAGTTCATATTTAACTAGCTGTGTTGCCGGCATTTTCACTGGCAATGCTGTGTCTTAATGTACTGCCTAAGCTCTAAAAGTGCTTATACAGTCTGGCAATGCCATCAGCCAGGCTCCGGTTCTCCCCTTTTGGCTGAGTGTTGAGTATTGTTTGTGGCATGTTGATTGGTCTATTTGCATGCATCTTCATTTATTTCTATACAGGATACTATATTGGGGGTTAAGAGTGTACATAGCACTGATGATTACATCCTTGTAGGGCCCCTGGTGTGCATGGTGTTTCAGGCAGGTCCTTGATCTACCAGATAAATTTAAGTACGAAATATTACCACAATAAACAATGGTTAGTTCATGCACACTAATGGCAATACACTATAATGACAAAGATTACTAGGTATATTAGGGTGCATTATCTTAATGTAACCCTACTATGTTCATATTTATTGTTCATCATTACACTGAGGTGCTTAGCCCCGATTTTTGTTCAGCGACCGAATCTTTTCTTGACTGGACACTTGTTCATTGCCAGTCTTTCATTGCAATCTGGCCACTCATTCATTGACAGTCATTCAATGCATGACTGACCCCTTTTATTTACCTTGGCATCATTCTGTATATGTTATAGTTCTTATACATTACGTTTCCACTTGCTACCTACGTCATATTACCTCATTATCTTGAATGTATTCTCTTGTCCCTAGTTAACGGTACTTGGGCCATATTTACGGTCTTTTATTGCACATTTGCATAATTCATGTCCCCTTATATGCTTGTTGTGTTCTTTAGTGTGTATATTGACTATAATAATTATAGTGCTGGGCTAGACTATGTACATGTTCGGATCCCTGATTCTGCACAGTGCCAGTGTTCAGTTATAAGACAGTGTTATTTTACCTTCATCTTGTATGATATTACGAGCTGATCTGTTGAAACGTCGGCAGGTTTCAACACATCAGGTCGATACGAAAGGTAGATCTCGTATAGACCACTCATGCCCCTACAGTTCATTGTCATTAGAACAAGAGGAGCTGGGATTTACAGCCCTGCCTGCGGACATTTATTTGTATTTATTTGACATACTGAATCTTTGTATTATATTGCAGTACATATCCTCCAGTGTTCTCCTCCTCCATAAATCGACAGCGCATGCATCGTCAACACTGCTGGAGCTGTTTATGCCATTCCTGTGGGATGCAGTATCACAATTTTTTGCTTCATGTCTCGAGTGTCGGCTAGTGGTGCTCGTTTCCTCATTGGCTTCTGCCTGGGCCCTTGCTCTTCAGTTTTTGTCGCCATTTGTCCTAGCTGTTTACGGAGTCTGCAGTTGGACAGTTTCTGCAAGCAGCTTCTTCTAGTCGTCATCCATTTCGGACTTGTAAGTCCGTCGGCGGTCCTGGGGGTGTTCCTCCGGAACAGGGCATTTCTGCTCGCCAGGCTTCTTTCCCGGCTTGCCGGGTTCAGATTCTTAGTGATCTAGTGGAGGTTCCATCTGGTTCCCTGGCAGCCTTGGTTCAGGCCATGCTTGCCCAGTGTCCGTTACCAGGGGTTTTTCCCATGACTCCGCATCTTTCAGATGCTTGGTCCGGTTCATTACGTGACTGGTTCAGTTTTCTCCTCGAGTCTTCGTGTCTGGTGCTTTTGACTTGAGTCTGTCACCATCTGTTTGGTGATCAGGTGACTTTGTTGATGGTGTCCCACCTGTGTACTTTGTCTCGGCGGCAGTATATGGTTTACTGGCGGTACTTCTTTTTTTCTTTTTGTCTCTTCGTAGGTTTACTGCTCTTTTTGTTGCAGTAGTCTTTTCTTTCTCTCGTGGCTGTTCAGGACCATCATCTTATGGCGCATACTGTTGCTTTGTCTTGTGTGGTGCTGGAGGAGCCGCTAAGGCTTGCTTTAGGTTTTGATGTTTCTTCTGCACCATTTCACAAGATGTCTTGGGCATAGTTCACCTCTGGCCGGCTCATGTGCAGCCTGAGCCATCCTGGTTTTGGCCTGGGTGCTTTCTTCTTTTCTCCTCAGTTTGTTGTGGCTTCTTCGGTTCAGTATTGTTTCTTGGAGGTTTCTGCACCTTTGGGTTCTGGTGTTCAGTTTGTGGCCGTCTCTTCTTTTCTGGCAAGGTTGGGCTGGCTGTTTTCCGGAAGGGTCCCTGGGGTTGTTGATGCTTGGTTGGTTTGGTCAGGGGTGCATCTTTTTGTGTCTGATTGTGGCTCTCAGTTATTGCCTGCGTGCCACAGCCTCTGTGGTCCTGGAAGTGCTTTGATTTGCCTGGATTCCCTTTGTCCCTGTTCAGAGTTTGGGTCTCCCGGGTCATTTGCGGGGTCGTTTCGTGTTGCCAGTTGTCTTGTTTTCAGGTTTCGGGTGAGTGGTTTCCACCTCCTGGGTTTGTCCCTCTTTTCTCCTTGTCTTTGGGTAGTCAGCTCTGGGAAGCTGAAGGGGCTCCCCTCAAAAAAACAGCATTTAATGTAACGAAATGCCATTTTCTGGGTGAGACCCCTCCCCTCCTCGGGAGAAGAGGGGAGGGGTTGCGCAGTCGGCGGCGCATTGGTAACGAGATGATGTCATGTTTGTTTGTTTGTTTTTCTTCATGGAGAGTTCTATGCTCTTTTTCGGCATTTAGTAGCATCTCTTCACCAGAATGGGGGGGTTGTTTTGAGGCGCCTATCTTTCTGGGTGCCCGACCTGGTCGATGGCAGACATAGGAGTACTTCTAAACCATATATAAGGTGTTTCTATAGGCCATTGTTCCTCACGCCTCTCTGAGGGGTCTAGGTTCTGGCTCGTGGTCCTCACTAGGCCTAGAACTCCATGTACATTGACTGATTATCTTGAGATGTTATCTTGAGATGATTTCGGGGCTTTAGTGTCCCCGCGGCCCGGTCCTCGACCAGGCCTCCACCCCCAGGAAGCAGCCCGTGACAGCTGACTAACTCCCAGGTACCTATTTTACTGCTAGGTAACAGGGGCATAGGGTGAAAGAAATTCTGCCCATTATTTCTCGCCGGCGCCTGGGATCGAACCCAGGACCACAGGATCACAAATCCAGCGTGCTGTCCGCTCGGCCGACCGGCTCCCCCGGTCGGGGGATGCCCAAAGCTTATACATCCATATCAGCCGGATAGCTCCGGGAAGCCTCTGAGTTTCACCCAGAAAATGGCATTTCATTACATTTAACACTTTTTTTCTTTTACTCTTACACTGCTTCATTGGCCCAAATGCTCTCAATCATCTGAAGATGATTTAACCCTGTATTGCACTCACCAAGATATCTTGGTTGATGAGTGGTGTGCTCACCAAAATATCTCGGTTCTCATTTGTAGGTATAAAATACAATTCAAAACTTTCACACGCAGTAACCTGGACAGCCAATGGATGTCCGAGGCCTTCAGTAACCGTCTTCCATCTTGAAAATAATTCCTGACATACCCCAGGGCCACATGTAGGCTTATAGAGCATCCATAGCTGATGAACATGCATCTATCTCCCAGTCACCCTCGAGTCATGTGGTACAAAAAGTACTCTGAGGTACATAGTGAGGTATTACGTGAATCGGACCTTGACAGTAATGTTGACGATCAAAGATATGATAAAGACCTAACACTGCGATCAGATACCAGTGATAAGGACACAGAATATGATGATACAGTAATCTTGTTCAGTATGAGAATTATCCCACTGTCAACATATCCCAGGTCAACGCTACAGCCAACATGTCCCAGGTCAACACCACTGCCAACATGTCCCAGGTCAACACCACTGTCAACATGTCCCAGGTCAACACCACTGCCAACATGTCCCAGGTCAACACCACTGCCAACATGTCCCAGGTCAACACCACTGCCAACATGTCCCAGGTCAACACCACTGCCAACATGTCCCAGGTCAACACCACTGCCAACATGTCCCAGGTCAACACCACTGCCAACATCTCCCAGGTCAACACCACTGCCAACATCTCCCAGGTCAACACCACTGCCAACATCTCCCAGGTCAACACCACTGCCAACATCTCCCAGGTCAACACCACTGCCAACATGTCCCAGGTCAACACCACTGCCAACATCTCCCAGGTCAACACCACAGCCAACATGTCCCAGGTCAACACCACAGCCAACATGTCCCAGGTCAACACCACTGTCAACATGTCCCAGGTCAACACCACTGCCAACATCTCCCAGGTCAACACCACTGCCAACACGTCCCAGGTCAACACCACTGCCAACATCTCCCAGGTCAACGCCACAGCCAACATGTCCCAGGTCAACACCACAGCCAACATGTCCCAGGTCAACACCACAGCCAACATGTCCCAGGTCAACACCACAGCCAACATGTCCCAGGTCAACACCAGTGCCAACATGTCCCAGGTCAACACCACTGTCAACATGTCCCAGGTCAACACCACAGCCAACATGTCCCAGGTCAACACCACTGCCAACATCTCCCAGGTCAACGCCACAGCCAACATCTCCCAGGTCAACACCACTGTCAACATGTCCCAGGTCAACACCACTGTCAACATGTCCCAGGTCAACACCACTGCCAACATGTCCCAGGTCAACACCACTGCCAACATCTCCCAGGTCAACACCACTGCCAACATCTCCCAGGTCAACACCACTGCCAACATCTCCCAGGTCAACACCTCCCAGGTGAACGCCACAGCCAACATCTCCCAGGTCAACACCACTGTCAACATCTCCCAGGTCAACACCACAGCCACAACATTCCATATCGCTAGGTGTGCCACCTGCTCTTCCTCTACACCATATGTGGGAGATGTCTCATTTTCTAAATTCAGTGATGTTGGTTTGGATACTAGTAGCCTAGATGAAGTTAGTGGTAGTGGCTCTCATCATGACACTAGGTGGGGCTTGTACTGTCAGCAGCTTGCCCTGCAAAGCGATGGTAAGTGATGTGCCATGGAGAAATTGAGGAAAGGGAAATAGTGGCCACTCTATACACAGTAGGAGAGCTTCATCTCCCAGCAAAAATAGTTTTACCATTACAAGATGTGGCCATGGTATTGGCCTTGGTATTGGCCTTGGTATTGGCCTTGGTATTGGCCATGGTGTTTGTGGTGTTGGTGACACCAAAAGCAGCATGGGTGTATTCGTGTCGGAAGATTATGACAATTTTGTATCAGAAATGCCTATATTTGATGATACGGATGTGTTACTAACATTTTCCCATATACTGCTGAATATATAAGAGGAAAGCTAGTATTTTATGGCTTATTTTGACGAGCTGTTCATGAAACATCTCATTGATGAAACATCTCATTGGTGAAACCAATCAGTACACAGTGAAACTTATTACAGTATGGCCTTTTACCATTTTCATGTTTTCTACTTTGAAAGGACAAAACTGTATCTGAAATGTAATGATTTCTTGGGCTGTGTTTGATGATGAAACATGCATTAAAACATGTCATACAGAATTATTGGAACAAAGCAAGCAGTGTTCCAACAGCAGCTTTCAGGAAATACATTTCTCAGGACAATTTCTTTCTAGTTCTCAGGTGCCTTCATTTTGAGATAATAACTTTACTGAAAACAATTAACTGTGGAAAGTGAGAAATGTGTTCAATGATCTAAGAAGAAAAGTTCAGAAATTTCTTTGAACCATGACAGCATATAGTGTTTGATGAATTGCTTTTTCTTTTAAAGGGACCTCTTGCTTTCAAGCAGTACAGTATATACCATCAAAATGCCACAGATTTGGACTAAAATTCTTTGTGCTCCAGGATTGTGAAACCAGAATAGTGATAGATATATTATATTCCGGTACCAACAGAGACATACCCAGTCACAATCCTCATGGGATTTCAGGCAATTGGTAAAGACGCTCATGGAACCACTGCTGAGCAAAACTACATTTTGTACACTGACAATTATTATACCAGCCCCATACTAACTAGGTTCTTACTTGAATATAACACTAGAGTCTGTGGCACAGTAAAGCTACATATGCAATAAATTGCAGTGTTTGGTACAGGTATGTCAGCAGGTGATTTTATTAGCTGAGAAAAAGTAACAAAGTTTTTATCAGTGCATTGGAAAGACAGATGTGAAGTGAATGTGTTTATAACTATTCATATTAGTGAAATGTTAGATGGTGGCAAACAGAACTTTGCAACACATGGTAAATTATATAAACCAAATTGTGGGATGGACTATAATATAAGATTATAGATTGATAAATAAATATACATTGTTATAGATTGGTTAATAAATGTGACATAATGTTAGGTACTGTGAAATGTGTGCGGGAAAACTGTAAATTGGACCAGGAAATTGTTTTTCCACTTTGTGGATGTAAGGGTGTTGAACTGTTTGAACACGAATTGAGTGAAATCAAGAAATAAACCAACAATCCGTGATTTTAGTCTTGACCTGTTGTCACATTTGCTTGTAAAGTTTAGCTAGGAAGTGTTGTAATGAAAGTTTCCATGACAACAAAACCCTAATGCTGCTCCCGACAGACTTGGTTACAAAGATGCCTTTGTTACACACCTGGTACAGGTATGTAACAAAAGTTATACATGCAAAAGGTATGCATGGAAAGGGAATACATGAATGTATAGACTGCAAGCACTCACAAAGAAGACAGAAGAAGCAAACATGTACCTGGTGCACAGAATGCAAAGTTGCCTTGTGCACCACTGATTGCTTCAGTGGATAAAAAAATTCACTCGTGAAGGATTGAGTGTGTATTATGGTGTATATACATGGAAATATTGTGTATGATAGTGTACATAGTATGCATGATGATGTAAATATTATTATTGAGTGAAAAATGAACATGTGATATTTAAAAAATAAGCATTTCTGTGGAGAGCCTTTCAGCTCCCCAGAACTATACCAGACTGATGTGTATATATTAGACTGAGGCAACTGCCAATTGATGGAATTCTAATCCTACCAAGGACCACAAGCCAGAACCTGGCTCCCTCAGAGAGGCACGAGGAGCAATGGCCTATAGACATCCACATGTAATTGGATGCAGTCTATGTCTGCCATCTACCAGGTCAGGCTCCCAAAAAGGTAGGAATCCTAAAACAAACTACAGCTGGTTAAACATTGCAAACCTAAAGCTGAATGAGCAAGCAGAACTCCCCAATCAGAAAACAAGCAAACAAGCATGACATCACCACAGCAGCCATGCTGTTGTCTGTGCAACTCCCCCCCCTCCCAGGTAAGGGGGAAGGGGAGCCCCCAGACTTCCCATGCCAGTTACCCAACCCAAGTTCTGAGGTTGAAAATAAAAAAATGCGAAAAACTGTAGACTGGAGGAGGGGGGGGAGGGTTGTGGGGGAAGCCTCTGGGTCTCACCCAGAAAATGGCGTTTCATTACATTCAACGCTGATTTTCTGTGGAGTGCCCCGCCAGCTCCATGGAGATACCTAACCAAAGATAAAGGAAAAGAGGGACTTACTTGGGAAGCGGCCGCCACTCGCTCCTCAACTCTAAATCGAGACAACTGGCTGCAACCTGTGACCCAAGGCTGCACACGCCCGAGAAGGGCCAGGAACATTAATGAGGTACCATGCGGCCAGGACCCTGTTTGACCCCCAAAAGCCCCGTGTCTGAGAGTCAGCCCCAGGACATATTACCAAAACAGCAGCCAAAGCCGCGACGAACATTGTGGGCACTGAGATAGACCGCAGGCTAGCTGGACCGAATAATCCTGTAGATGACCTGGGAGACCCAAGCCATGGAACAGGGAAGAAGGGAAACCGGGTCAACCCAAAGTGTGTACCCTGCCATGAAGATTGTGGGGTGCAAGTAATGGCAAAGAGCCACAACTTGACACAAAACATGATGCACCGCCAAACCAACCAAGCATCAACAACCCAATGACCCCCCTCCGGAAAGCAGCAGTCTCATTCTTCACCAGAAAAGGAGGAGACGGCTGCAAATGAACAAAATGACCACCAGGACCAAAAGAGCAGAAACCCATGTGCCAGAGGAGAGCATGAAGCTCCCCGACCCAACCCCCAGAGGCCAATACCAACAAGAAAAGAGCCTCAGAAAAAATAGTCCTGAACCAGAGGGGCCACCATAAATAGAGGAGAAGAGAGAAAAAAAAGAGCACCTGGTCCCATGACCAGGACGGCTCAGGCGCCACATGAGTAGGCCAGAGGTGAAACAACGCCCAAGAAAGCTTGCAAAACAGAGCTGAAGTGACATCCACTCTGAATGTAGGTTGAAATTGCTCCACCAGCACTGCACAATACAAGGCAACAGTATTCAGCATATGATGACAGTCCTGAAACAATCAAGAGAGAAAGGACAAAACAACCTGATCAGAAATCAAAGACAGCCTACGAAGAATCGAGAAATGCCGAAACGACCGCCAGGAAACTTCATACTGCCACCGAGACGAGACTCACAGGTGGTACACCATCAACGAAGCCACCTGATCACTATACAAGTGGTGATAAACCCATATCAAAAAACCAGATACAAAGTTCAGAGAAGATCAAATCAGCCACGTACAGGGTCGGACCAATCTGCTGAAAGAGCCGGAGCCGCGGGAAGACCCATAGGTTCGGACACTGATCAAGCAGTGCCTGAAACCAAGGCTGGGCCAGCCATCAAGAGGCCAACAGGATTACTCTCCTCTAGTAAGTCTCCAAGCAAGCCAGGATCTGGAGCAACAGGGGCGAAGAGGTACAGGTAACCCCATCTCGACCAGTCCAGTTGAAAGGCATCAACCCCGAAACCCTCAAAGTCGGGAAAGGGCGCCACTCAAACCGGGAGATGCCTTGACTACGTCAATGCGAAGAGGTCCACCTCTGGGCTCCCAGAGGTGGACCTCTGGGAGAAATGTCAGGCATGTCAGAAATGTCAGGACCTCTAACAGAAATGTCAGGCAGAGCCAAAGGAACAAGGCGTCATTGACCGTCCATTCCCTGGACAGGGAAATGAAATGTGACAAGCTGTCCGCTAGGACGTTGGACATCCCCTGGATATAAACTGCCAGGAGAACCAAACCTTGAGAACTCAGCAGATGAGTCACCTGAAGTGACCAGCCCCAAGGAGCCAAGGACCGCATCAAACTTTCCCCCCCCCCCCCTCAGTTCAAGCAATGAACCACTGCGGGGTTCGAGTGGAGCCAAATCATCGTTCCGTGAGCAACACGAATCCTCCAAAGCGAAAGCCACACCTCCGTGAACTCCCGCACCATGCTGTGAGCCCGACCGAAGGACGGGCTCCACCTACCATGGCCAGCCTGGTGAGCACTGGTCACAAAGCCCTAGCCGAGAGACGACGCATCTGTGAACACATCGAGTGAGGGCTCGGGTAGGTGCCACGGCACTGAACCCCCCCAAAAAAACGAAGAGGAAGCTGGTGATGCGGATAGGGGTCTGAACCCAGTGATCGTGAGAGCGGCGGAAGGGATGACACCAAAAGAATTAGAACAGCCGCCGAAGCCAGATCCAACGTGATGGGTAGACCAGCATGGCGAGCTTCAGACTCCCACACAGCTGCGCAAGCAACTGACGAGTGACCTGGGTGCCCTCCAAAAGCAGCCAAAGACGGGACTGCAGCCAACGCCGCTGAAGGGAGAGACAAGGAAGCGGTCTGAGAGTCCCACACAAGATCTAGCCAAGTCTGAACCTGAGAGGGAACGAAATGGAACTTCCTCCAGTTCACCAAGAACCCAAACCCAGTGAGCTGGGAAAGAACCCATTCCCTGCCGAGCAGATACGCGGACTGGCTGGAAGCCGAGACCAGCCAGTCATCGAGGTAAGCCAGAACCCGAACCCCTAACAGATGTAAACAGGTCACCACGACCTAGGTAATGAGTGTAAAAACGCGATGCGCCAGATTCAAGCAGAATAGAAGGCAACAAAAATGGTAAGCGTGCCGCCCCATGACAAAACCAAGACAGTTCCTGAACACTGGATGAATTGCGGCAAGGGTAATGCCAGTGTCAGCTAGAGAAGGGAACTGTAACACATGCAGCTGCAACAAAATGAGACTTAGGGTATCCAGGATAAGAAGGCATAAATATTCACATTTGAAGCCACACAGGCCTTTGCATTCAGGAAAAGAGACCAAAGGAAGGCTAACACTAAGCTGAGGACTGAACCCAAAGAGTGGTGTATAACCAAGGGCCTAAGTATATAACCTAAGTATAGCTACCTAAACATAGTTACAGGATGAGAACTACACTCGTGGTGTCCCGTCTTCCCAAGACTCTTTGTCGTATAACGTTTTGAAGGTACTGATGGTTTTAGCCTTCACCACCTTCTCATTTAACTTGTGCCAACTGCCAACCACTCTGTTTGTGAAAGAAAACTTTCTAATATTTTTTTCTGAATCTTTGTTTCCTTAGCTTGAATTAGTGTCATCTTGTTCTTGAAGTTGCTGGTTTCAGGAATTCCTCTTGTGTAAATGAGGGAGCTGGCAAGATAGGATTCTCAGGTAGCTGGGGCTGCCAACTGGTGGCGGGTGTGTGTTGCTAACTAGACGTTTCTTGCAGCAAATGAGAAGGGGTATGTTCATGTTAGGGTTGCTAGTGTTGTTCATGCAGTTGCGGGTTATGTTGTGCTCTACTCTTCAGATGTTTTCCTTCATATTACTACTGTGGTCTAGTACCCCCAGACTCCCCTTGAAGGAGCCAAATTCTGGTACTGGTTTCTGGCAGGTGCTAGAGTTACCACTCTAGGTTCTCTAAACCTAGAGTGGTAACCAAGGTTTGGAGGTTACCAGGTGGTACCTCGTGAAGCCACAGGTGATCACTGTGCATGCGGTATATTGTGATCATTTTGGAGAAAAATGGATTGTCAAGTGTACCAAATTTGGTGGCACAAGATACTAAATTTGATGAAAATAATGTTAGTGTGGGGTTGATCATGAAATCCTGAATATTATCCATCAGAAGATGACACACACTTCTATAACAGCAAGGAAACTCAGATTAGGGAAATAAAGGTGTGTGGTGACTTGACATGAAGCCATGCTGCAGACTAATATATGAGTCGCTAGTTGGAGCATATTTGGTACTAAAGATTCTGATTCTGAGGAAAATGCATTCTTGTAATGCTTCAGGGTCTTGCTGATCCTGTTTGTGGCATTCTCCACTTTAGTTTCTTCTGTGTATAGGGTTCATGAGTTCTGGCAATCTACTACTGTTTTGTTTTTTGCAGTTTCATACTTTGTCCTTTCTGCACTGCTACTTCCAGGATTACTTATTCCAGTCCCTTACTCCTATGGTGTAGCCCTGTTTTTTGTTACTTGTGGTGAGAAAGCCTGTTGAGCCACCAAGACTCCTCCCAGAAATCTAGCACTGAATGTAATGAAATGCCTCCTTGTAGTTGGTCCATCGGTGGCTCCTCATTACAGGCCTTCCCTTCTCCTATGGTATAGTGGGGTTGTTCCATAGGCTGCATGTGAATGAGGGAGCAGGCTGGTCAATATCTTCAGGTGGACAGTGCTGCCATCTAGTGATGAGTGAGTGTTGCTAATTACCAATTGACTCTGTGGCTAGGAAAGGGATAAAGTGCCAAGCCATTATGACTATTGACTATATAGTACTTGGAAAGAATCAGGGTAAGGATTTGGGATAAGACGGGGGCAAAGAATGGCTCCTAACTACTTGGACAATCGGGAATTGAATACCGATCTGCACGAAGCAAGACCATCACTCTACTGTTCAGCCCAAGTGGTTGGGCGACAGTATCTCCCTCACCCAACTCTCCTTGCCTCTATTGAGGGAGACAAATTCTGATGCTAACTTTTAATAGGCACTAGTGAGTCTTAGAGCTTGGAGTGGAAATCTAAGTTTGGAGTTTACCTGATGAATAGCTCAGGAATCACCAATGGTCCCATCAGAAATTGGTGTTCATTACATTCAATGCTGGATTAGTTCACTACGACCACCAACAAAGCTAGTGGTGCCTTGCACTATGAATACCATCATATGGTCATCTTTCCCTGAAGCCAACATGTAACTTAAATATTTATCTGCCACCTAAGTAAGACAGAAATGAGTAACATTTAGCGGGCCAGCCAGAGGCACGAGACCTGCACAGGAACAGCCCTAAGAAAACCACTGGCATAACTTGCCCCCCATTTCCAGCAACAGGATCACTATTTCCACATTCTCAGCAGAATCAGATAATACAGCATCACATATACTCCAGTTAGCAACTCAAAAGTATTAATGTTTCATCAGTGTGCCATTGCGTCAGTCACCACCCACACTCTCCCTATTCAGTCTTACTTCCATTTCTGTTAGAACAGAATATTTTATATTCTGAGGGATAATATTCATGTTAACTATTTGTAATATAGCCTTCTTTATTACTAAAATTATCCATGTCCCATAATATAAATAAATAAATAAATAAATAAATAAGTAAATAAATAAATAATATCCTTGCAAGTTTCCATGGTGTCAATAGTCCCCTAGCACAATCGTACTACACATTCACTGGCTGAAAATGGTGCTCATTTGCTTAATAAGGCCCAGGAACAAAACTAAGGCACTCAAGAATTTTTTAGCCAATATGACAAACATTTGCCAGAGGTCTCTAGTGGTAAATGATGTTTCCACAGAACCAACAGAACAATCAAATATAGGAGGTTGACAAAAAATCACCCTAAGATGATTGGAGCCTTGAGCAGAATTGCCTTGGGATGACTGGAGCAGTGTAAGGGTTAGGGAGTAATTAGGGAGCATGGAATGTCACTGTCTGCTATTGTTTCTGACAGTATGGTACTCTTCCTCACCACAATAATTTCCTGTTTTTTATTTCTTATTGATCCTTGGATACTTGAATCACTTTGTTGTGCTCTCTAGATATGCTGCTAGTGATCAACACTGCCCTTACAATGTTTTACACTTTTTTTTTTTTTACTTTTCAGAGAATAGTTTGATGCTGTTTTGACCACGTCATTTCTATTAAAAATTTACCTCCCTGTTACACTATTTATTTTTCTCTACTAACTCCTTTAGTTCTCTGTTAGTTTGCCCTTCCCAGGACACCACTCACTTAACAAATTCCTTCACCACAATACTTAGGTAACAACAAATGTCTGGAGCTCCTGCATTAGTATTGTGACAACAATGTGTGTGACCGTGATTGTTCTATAAAGACCTCTTCCACACACTCATCACAGGCCCATAGTGTGTGACCATGATTGTTCTATAAAGACCTCTTCCACACACTCATCACAGGCCCATAGTGTGTGACCGTGATTGTTCAATAAAGACCTCTTCCACACACACATCACAGGCAGATAGTGTGTGACCGTGATTGTTCTATAAAGACCTCTTCCACACACACATCACAGGCCCATAGTGTATGACCGTGATTGTTCTATAAAGACCTCTTCCACACACTCATCACAGGCCCATAGTGTGTGACCATGATTGTTCAATAAAGACCTCTTCCACACACACATCACAGGCCCATAGTGTGTGACCGTGATTGTTCTATAAAGACCTCTTCCACACACACATCACAGGCCCATAGTGTGTGACCGTGATTGTTCAATAAAGACCTCTTCCACACACACATCACAGGCCCATAGTGTGTGACCGTGATTGTTCTATAAAGACCTCTTCCACACACACATCACAGGCCCATAGTGTGTGACCGTGATTGTTCTATAAAGACCTCTTCCACACACACATCACAGGCCCATAGTGTGTGACCGTGATTGTTCTATAAAGACCTCTTCCACACACACATCACAGGCCCATAGTGTGTGACCGTGATTGTTCAATAAAGACCTCTTCCACACACACATCACAGGCCCATAGTGTGTGACCATGATTGTTCAATAAAGACCTCTTCCACACAATCACAGGCCCATAGTGTGTGACCGTGATTGTTCAATAAAGACCTCTTCCACACACACATCACAGGCCCATAGTGTGTGACCGTGATTGTTCTATAAAGACCTCTTCCACACACACATCACAGGCCCATAGTGTGTGACCGTGATTGTTCTATAAAGACCTCTTCCACACACACATCACAGGCCCATAGTGTGTGACCGTGATTGTTCAATAAAGACCTCTTCCACACACACATCACAGGCCCATAGTGTGTGACCGTGATTGTTCTATAAAGACCTCTTCCACACACACATCACAGGGCCATAGTGTGTGACCGTGATTGTTCTATAAAGACCTCTTCCACACACACATCACAGGCCCATAGAACTTCTGCAGATAGAATGCCACTGTTTGAAATCAGTGTAACTGACTTAGCAATAAAAATGCAGTTCAAAAACCTAAATACAGTACTAAGGCCCATATTAAATAGATACACTCAAGAGGGTATATACATAAGAAATATTACCAGCTAGTGCATTCCAAATTTATCTTCAAGTAAGTCTCACACTTACATATAAATTATTAAAAAGGTATACACTTTTTACCTAAAGACACTGTTTTACGTTGATATCAAGAATGAAATCAAGTGTAAAAATACATGAAGGAATGAAGCACATCAGCTGGCAATCTGTTTCCAGAGTGATTCACTTAAGTCTGTCCTTTGGCAATTATCATATTGTTCAACTCAATATTAAGTCAGTGCACTATGGCAAGACACTAAAGAGGTATACAAGCTTTCTCTTATTTTCTGTGTTGATAAGACCATTACATGGGAATGAGACTAGTTCATACACTATATAACTTTTTAAGCAATTTCACATTTCAGTGTTCAGTAATTAACTTTCATTACAGAATCTTCATACAGTATATATAGGAATACATTCCTGTGACCACTGTTTCAAACTTTATCATCTATACTCTACACACATGTCATCTTTCCTTCAAAATATAATGGAAGATTTCTCCTCAACATTTGTGTTATATTTTCTTAAACAGTTACCCCTGCTTTTACTGCTAACATCTCATGCTCATGTGGTTGGGACGTGGAGAGTGTGATGAACCACGGGACCGCATCACCCCTTCACTTGCTGAAGCTGCCCGCACGGGGAACGATGTAGTCCGCTTGGCAGAACTGTAAAGAATTATAATTGTTAGGAAAAAACACACATTTGCAGTTTCTTTTATGAAATGTGAAAAGAATAAATGTCTAGAAAAATGCATCAACTGTTATAGTATAGATGGTTATTAGGTTATTTTTTGCTCTCTTCCATCAAATGCATACATGATCAGTAGGTTTTATGCAGTCTGTTTAAGGCAACTGCTATCAACAAACAAAATACTTTGCTTTTAGAAGCCAATCTTATGTTACAACTATGACAAATGTATGACAAATATTCAAATTCCTTAAGCTATTGCAAGAATAAACTTGCCTATTCATAAAACATTATCAATTTACCCATAACATTTTGCTGCATTAAGACATGCCTTTCAAAACCCTTTAGATATTAAAGAAGGGCAAGTATTGGTTTGATTATATAGTGTACAGTTACTGTTTAAATTTGTCAATGACATATCTATATTTTAACAAAAAACCAGCGTTGCATGTAATGAAACGCTATTTTCTGGGAAAGACCCAGAGGCTCCCCAGAGCTATACCGGGCTGATGTGTATATATTAGACCGTGACAACAGTCAATCAAAGGGATTCTAGGCCTACTGGGGACCAGAGCCAGAACCTGGCCCCCCTCAAGAGAGGCACAAGGAGCAATGGTCTAAAGACACCCCCGTGTAATTGGAAGCAGTCTTTGTCTGCCATCTACCAGGTCAGGCACCCAGAAAGGTAGGAATAACAAAACAAACTACTGCGGGTCAAATAATTTGCAAACTGAAAGCTGAACTAGCAACAGAACTCCCCAATCAAAACCAAGGAAACAAGTGTGACGTCACCACAAATGCCGCGCATCCGTCTGCGTAACATGAGAGGGGGATGGGGGGGGTCCCAGATCTCCACGCTGGCAACTCTCCTCAGTTCAAAGGCTGAGTATGAAAAATGCGAAAAAATGCCGACCGGAGGGAGGGAGGGAGGGGTGCCGGGGAGCCTCCGGGTGTCACCCAGAAAATGGCATTTCATTACATTCAATCCTGGTTTTCTGTGGAGAGCCCCTACAGCTCCCCGGAGCTACCTAACCAAAGACAGAGAAAAAGAGGGACTTACCTGGGGGGCGGTCATCACCTTGGTCGGAGGAGTTCGACCCACAAAAGCCCCGTGCTTGAATGTCAGCCCAGGACATATTCCAAAAAATATTAGCCAAAGCAGTGAACTTATGAATGTCATAATGTCATGGGCACGGGAATAGACCGCAGGCTGGCTGAACCAAATAATTCTGCGGACGACCTGGGAGACCCGCGCCTTGGAACAAGGAAGAAGGGAAACCAGGTCCACCCAAAGTGTGTCCCTGCCACGGAGGCTGTGGCGCTCAGGTACCGGCGATGAGCAACAACTGGACACAAAACATGATGCACCTCCGGCCGAACCAACCAAGCATCAACAACCCAAGGACCCCTTCGGAAAGCAGCAGGCCGACTCTTCACCAGAAAAGATGGAGAAGGCAGCAAATGAATGAAACGACCACCAGGACCGAAAGAGCAGAAACCCCCTGCGCCGGAGGAGAGCATGTAGCTCCCCGACCCGATCCCCAAAGGCCAATGCCAACAAGAAAAGAGCCTTAGAGAAACAATCCTGAACCGAGGGGGGCCACCACAAACCGAGGAGGAGAGAGAAAAAAAAGAGTACCCGGTCCAATGATCAGGACGTCACAGGTGGCGCATGAGCAGGCTGGAGGTGAAACAACGCCTGAGAAAGCTTGCGGAACGGAGCAGAAGTGACATCCACCCTGAAAGCAAGCTGCAGCGGCTCCACCAATGCCACACGAAACGAGGCAACAGTATTTGGCACAAGATGACGATCCTGAAACAACTAAGAGAGAAAGGACAAAACAACCCAATCAACCTATGAAGAGACAAAATTTTGCCGAAGGACCCCAGGAAATTTCATACTGCTGTCTAGAAGAAACTCACAGGTGGGACACCATCAACTAAGCTACCTAATCTCCATACAAATGTTGATACACCCGCGTCAAAAAGACCAGACGCAAAGAGAGGAGGAGAAGATTGAACCAGCCACATATCGGACCAGATCGATCTGCTGAAAGAGGCGGAGCCGCGGGAAGACCCTTGGGTTCGGACATCGAGCAAGAAGCGCCTGAGACCAAGGCTGGCCCGGCCACCAAGGAGCCAACAGGACTACTCTCCCTTGGTAAGTCTCCAACCAAGGATCCGAAGCAACAACCGGACCAGAGGGAAGAGGTACAAGTAACTCCGCCTCAACCAGTCCAGCCGAAAGGCATTGACCCGATGGCCTTGCAGTCTGGAAATGGCACCACATAAACTGGAAGACGCCTCGACCACGCCGATGTGAATAGGTCCACCTCTGGGTTCCTGTATGTCCGGCAGAGCCAACTGAACGAGTCGACCTTGACCGTCCATTCCGTGGAAAGGGGAATGAACCAAGACAGGCCGTCCGCCAGGACATTTGACACCCCCTGAACATGAACCGCCTGGAGAGCCAAGCCCCGAGAACTCAGCAGACGAGTCACCCGAAGCGACCAGCCCCAAAGAACCAAAGACCGCATCGAACACCCGCGGTTCTAGCAATGAACCACTAGGAAGCAGTCCAAATCAAGCCAGATCGTTGCTCCTTGAGCGACCCAAATCCTCTGAAGCGAATGCCACACCGCTGCAAACTCCCGCGCTGTGGTGTGAGCTCGACAGAAGGACGGACCCCACCGACCCTGGCCGGTCTGGTAAGCACTTGTCACAAAACCCCAGCCGAGAGACGAGGCATCCGTGAACACATTGAACAAGAGCTCGGGAAGGCGCCATGGCTCAGAACCCCGAAAAACCCGCAGAGGAAGCCGGTGATGCAGCAGCCGACGCAAGGCTCCTGGGATCCAAACCCATCGATCACTAGAGCGGCGGAAGGGACAGCTCCAAAGAAACCAGAACATCTGCCGAAGCCAGATCCGACCCGATGGGTAAACCAGCACGGCGAAGTTCAGGCTCCCGCACAGGGGCTCAAACAACCAACATGTGACCCGGGTGCCCTTCAAAAACAGCCGGAGGCAGGACCGCAGCTGCAATAGCATCGCAGGAGGGAGAAAAAAGGAAGCGGTCCGAGAGTACCACACAAGACCCAGCCAAGTCCGAACCTGAGAGAGGACCAAAAGGTACTTCCTCCGGTTCACCATGAACCTGAACCCGGCAAGCTGGGAAAGAGCCATATCCCTGGCGAGCAGACATGAGGACTGGCTGGGAGTCCACACCAGCCAGTTGTCGAGGTAAGACAGAACCCGAACCCCTAATAGTAGCAAACAGGTCACCACGACCCGGTAAGAGGTGTGAACACTCGAGATGCCAGATTCAAGCCGCATGGACAGCAACGAAAACGGTAAGCTTGTCGCCCCACTGCAAAACCGAGTCGGTCACTGAACCCCGGATGAATCATGATGTGTACAATAAAATTATTAAACCAATACACGTCCCAGAGGTCCTGAGACACCATCCAGGCACCCGGCGCCATAAACAGCTGGACCTGAGACAGAGTGGTCATCCGAAGAAGAAAAAGCAGTCTGCCAGCCAGGAAGACTCCGGCACCTTATAACGCACCCAATAAAGAAAAAGAGGAGTCAAACTTAAAAAGAAGGCTTCATTATCGAGGTGTAATCCGGGTCTCGCAGTAAGTAAGCCACAAGGGGACCTCCCACACCTTCCTTGGTGGGATGCGGGAAGCCATAAATCTCCAGGAGGAGGGAACCAAAGAACCCAAGGGAACTCGGAGCCAAACCCGGGAAGGAGTCGAACTCATAACAAAATCGTACAGGTAGGGGGAAAGGAAAACCCCTACCCCTGTAACAACAAGCCCCCACACCGAAGGTACCAAACACCCAAGCAGGGACAAGTTGGGCCCAGGCCCCTCCAAGTCAACTCCTCCCCAGCCCCAGAATCCTCCACATCAGGACCCGGGGCCGAGACGTCCTCCAAACCCTCTGCCTTTGGAGAAAAAGCAGAGTCCACCGGAAAAGCAGGGATGAAGGGGGCCCGCTGGCGTGGCCCAAAAGCTCCGGCAGGAGGACCAGGCTCGAATGCTGCCTCCGCCGCCGATCCAGAAGGGGCAATCCCAGAAGCCACCCGAGTCTCACTACCAGTATAATTCAGCGGGGCAGCTGCGGGGCATTCAAAAAGGCAACCAACCTCGCACGTTGCTGCAATTTAAACCTTGCATGCAACGCTAAAGCTGCCTGCACCCAAATATCAGTCTCAGTGGACTGGGTGAATGGAGTACAAGCAAAGAACACCACTGACGGCCACGACTTTTGTTAGGCCAAAGCTAGAATATGCAGAGGTTGTGTGGTGCCCATATCTTAAGAAACCCATCAACAAACTGGAAAAGGTGCAAAGACATGCTACTAAATGGCTCCCAGAACTGAAGGGCAAGAGCTACAAGGAGAGGTTAGAGGCATTAACCCTTAAACCGCGCAAATCATATATATATGATATCAGTGACAAAACTGAAACATCTGTTACATCTGGCTCACACACCACCAAAATAGAGCAACAATACCGCACTGCAGCACTGCGCAAAGACTGGAGCCAGAGCGATCGACCGTCACCAACACAACAGCCTCTTGAACTGAGGAGAGTTGCCGGCGTGGAGGTTTGGGAACCCCCCCCCCATCCCCTTTCTGGGGACAGGGGGGCGGGGGAGGGGGTGCGCAGACCGATGTGTGGCATTTGTGGTGATGTCATACTTGTTTACTTGGTTTTGATTGAGGAGTTCTGTTGCTAGTTCGGCTTTTGGAATTCTTACCTTCCTGGTGCCTGACCTGGTAAATGGCAGACAAAGACTGCTTCCAATTACACGGGGGGTGTCAGGCTCCCGCACAGGAGCGGGAGCCTGAGGCACGAGGCCATTGCTCCTCGTGCCTTTCTTGAGGGGGCCAGGTTCTGGCTCTGGTCCCCGGTAGGCCTAGAACTCCTTCGATTGACTGTTGCCATGGTCTAATATATACACATC